GTTGTGCTCGTCGGAGATTCGCGGACGTCGTTGCCACCAACTGCGGACGCGGATCTGCAAGCGTGGCTGTCGTCCGGCCGATCGCTGTGCTTGCGGGGCTTGCACATCTCGGCGGCGCTCGCCGGAGCGCTGGCGCAGGCGTCCTCGCTGCAGTCACTCACCTTGGATCGCGTGCTCGGACTCTCGGGACCGGTCATCCTGCCGGCATCGCTGACGACGCTCTCGTGGATCTTTGACGCCCGCCCATTGGCGTCTACAGCCGTGGCGGCGTCGCTTGTCTCGGCGCCTCGCTTGACGCACTTGACACTTGACGGCGGCCTCTGTCCCGATGCTGTAGCAACAGCCCTCATGGCGCTGCCCGCGCTGTCGTCGCTGCGCCTGCATGGCCTCGCGCTCTCCTCGTCGCTTCTCGCCGCGCTACCACAGCTCCAACACCTCGACCACTTGGACCTCGGCGGCCACGCGTTCGGAGCGTTTGCGTCGGCGCTCGCGGAGACGCTTCCGCTATGCGGTCGCTTGACGTCGCTGGACTTGCGCCAGCGTAAACTGCCAGCGTCGGCCTTGCACCTACAAGGCCTCCGTCGCGCGCTCGTGCAGATGCCTCGTCTCCGCCGCCTCGCTTGGACGAGCGCGGGTGTCGGTGACTGCCTTCTCCCACACCTCAGCGCGCTCTCCCTTTCAAATGACCCGTGCGTGTACCCGACGTACCGGCCCATCGTCATGGACAACATCGGGTCTCTTGGCGCGCTAGTCGAGCTGGCGCTGACAAAGAACGAGCTCGACGACCGCGGTGCGCGCGCGTTAAGCGAGGTGCTGCCGCGCTGCAGAAAGCTGCGGTCGCTCGATGTGCACGGCAACGCCTTTACGAGCCGCGGGCTCGATGCGCTCTTGGACGGCCTCCCACGCTCGCTCAGCGCGCTCAACGTCGTGTCCCGAGGGTACTACTGGTCGGGCATCGACGCTGTCCTCACGGCCATGACGCACGCGACGTGGCGGTCGCTGGACGTCGCTGTCAACTACGAGCACGACCTCGACCGCGCCTTGCGCTGGCTCCTGGCTCACACGCAGTTTGTCGTAGCGTTGCCGCCGCATGCGAGTAGCATCAAGCCGCAGAGCCGGACACTCGTCGATGCGATTGACGCGAGTCGCACGGGCCACGCCTGCGCCGTCCGCCTCCACCTCCGGGACACCCCCGCTAGCGCCTTTCTCGATCCGTACAAATGACGTGGCCGAGCCAGTTACACGTTACCTTGCTATCCAATTATCCAGTCGTATGGATACCTACCAGTTGAAGCCACAAGTTTATACTCTGATGCGTACTCTGTCAAAGATGTAGACGCAAGAACCGGTTGTAGACTGTGTTGGATTATAAGCAAATGACCGCGGCAATGGCGGCGGCAGCGATGGCTCGGTTGTCCATTGTGAAGGGCCCGGTCTTCTCGGGCGCCCGCTGGCGCTGCGCGACCATGACGTCGTGCGCAGCTGGGTTGAAGCAGAACGAGAGACGCGTCGGCCGCGGCGCCGTCTGCAACAGCTGCTGGATCTCGGGCAACGTCAGGTACAAAGCCCGCGTCTCGCCCACCAGCATAAGTTCGTAGTGGTGGGTGACGCCGATCTGCGCGAGGGGGCTCTCAGCGCTCAGAAGCCGGGCCATCGGAGGCGGCGGTGGTGGCACAAACTCGAGCGTTTGCTCGCGGCCGAGGTCGTGGTTGCGCTTGAGGTCCTGCATGATCACGTCAAAGTTGCGCTCCGAGACCACCGCACCGTTGGCAAAGACGAGGAGGAAGCCCGGGTGGATGTTGCCGTACTCACGCTGGACGCGCTTGATGTACACCTGCCGCGTCGCCTTCTCGATGCCAAACGTGATGCCGATCGGCCCTTGCTTCCACCGCAGCGTGATGCGCGGCTGGCTGTACGGCGCGCCGCTGTGGCGAGTCTTGGACCGACAGATCTCGAGCCCAAGCGCCTCGCCGCGCCAGAGATACTCGATGATCTGCGGCGGGTGCGATCGACTGCGAGGCTTTACGGGCGACGATGGCGACGGCACAAAGGCCGACGTGGCCTGGAGCGGTGGCAACGGCGTTGACGCAGGCGGTGGCTTGCACTCGTCGTCGTCGCCACTCGATGGCATGCCTTCGTCGTCGTCGTCGGTCCGCGGTGCATCGACGTCGACGCCGTCATCGTCACCGGCGGCTACACGAGGGCGTGAGCAACGACGCACTAACATAGACTTGTACCAAGGTCGTCGTCGTCGTCTTCGCTGTCGCTGCCAGAGACGTCGTTCTCGAGGCGCGAAATGCGGCGGCACGACTACACGAAGCGTGAGGCTTCCTTCAAGGCAGGCAGGTGCGTACGCCATCGCAGACGACGTCGCAGGTGCACTCGGGCGTCGAGTTGGACCGCTTGATGGAGCACGAGCGCTGAAGGCGGTGGAGGAGCTCCGGCGACACGTCGTCTTCAGAGGCCATGGATGGTCGACTGGAGCGGTGGCACTGACTTCGCCGGCATAGAGCATCCGGACAGGCCTATCCGGACGGGAGAGTGACACGCGATCTTGAGCCGCAAGTTAGTCGCTCCTCTTAGTCGATCCTGTTGTCCAAGTGCTCGGCAGTACACGCCGATGCGACTGATCAGCAGTACCAAAGGCAGGAATACCCGCGTGTGCTACGTTGTACTAGTGCACTACGCTGGCTGACAGTTGACGTGGCGACGCGGAGGTGCTGAAAATGTATCCTGCGATCTGTCCCCGCTCGTCTCTACTGAACCGTCGTTCTACGTATAAGAGTCTAGCGACTAGAGTGATAGAGTATTCGCTAGAACGCCTCCACTTGCGATAGCTTGCCCCGATCACCTTGTCGACCCCGCCGCGTCACGTGGAACGCGCGACATTGCACTTGTTTAGCGCAGAGGGTACAGTTGTATGACAAATTTCCCGCCAACGCAGCTGTTGCGCACGCACCAATTCCTCAGCAGCTCAGAAATCAATCGCCGCAACCGACCACAATCATGGCACGTCGACTCTCGGACCCGTTCCCGACCCAGCGCTCGGACGATGACTTTTACTCGAGTGATATCGCGTACGACTGGTGCGGCGAGGCCTTGGAGCTGGAGCGCACGCGGCCGTCGACCGGCCTCCTTCACCTGATTTGGACAAATGGCCGTCTCGGCATCACCTTTGGCACGGACGCGTACACCGGGGCGGTCGTCGTCAAGCGCGTGTCGCCCGACGGCTTTGCGGCGCAGTCGAGTGTGTACCCCGGGTGCCGCCTCGAGTCGGTCAACGGCGTCGACGTGACGGCGGCCAACTACGACGAGACGATGCTGCTGCTTGCGACGGGCGCCGACTCGGGCAAGCCGCAGCGCCTCTTCTTCAGCCCGCGCCCGGCGCCGCTCTTTATGCGCAGCGTTTCCCCGACGAGTGCGTTGGCGGTCGCCGGCGTCTCGACCAACCATGCGCTCGCCTCCATCAACGGCACGGACACCACGTACATGAGCATGGAGGACGCCGAGTTTGTCCTGCGCGAATCCGAAAAGCCGTGCACGCTGCACTTTGCGTGCGTCCAACGGCCGGTGGTTCGATCCCGCGCACGCTCCAGCGGGTCCCCCACCTCAATCTCGAGCTCGTCGTCGCTGGTCGCTGCTCTCCTCGTCAGCGTTGCGCTCTGCTCCACGTAGTAATCAACGGCGCGTTTGATATCTACAAAACCCTCTCTGTAACCCAAACAAGTTGTCTTTTTAAATAGTACTAGTAGATCTTAGACGAGACCGCCGGCACGGGCATACGTGTCTGCGTAGGCGGGCTGGTAGGCCGGCAGCTCGGTCTTCTCGGTCTTTGCAGGCTCGGGCACCTTCGCAAGCCGTCGCCGTCGCTTGAGAAAGCAAAAGACGCCGCCGCCGACAACGACGAGGACGCCAGCAACGATCGCTACGTAGACGCCTGCCGAGATCTTCGTCTTGGGCTCGGGCTTGCACTCGCACGCGTCGCGCTTGGTGCTGCAGCGGTCGGCGCCGGCAGGGCAGCAGCACGGCTGCGTCGCGCCAGCGCTGAGCCAATTACCGCAAAACTGCGCGGCTTTTCCTTGGTACGCATCGCTGCACTGGTTGCTCTGGGCACACTTGTGGCACGGAGTTAGCGGCGCCGGCGTGGGCGCAGCGATCACAGCGAAGAGCAGAGCGCAGACGACCACCAGTCTAAGCACGACCATGGAAATGGAAATGTCGCGATGCAGCATGGCCACCCTTTGCCCTGCAGAGGCGCTGCCACGTGCTGGAGAAGAGCGGGTGAGCTTTCGTGACAGTCTCCAATCAAACTCAAACTCAAAGAGGCACACCCGCACTGCGAAGCTCACGTCACTGCAATTCAGTGTCGCCCATGAGGCATGCCTCCAGCCCAACAGCCGCAGACGACCGACCGAGCGTCACCGGCGTCGGCGTTGCGACAGAAGACAAGGTCGCAGCTAAGGTCGCAGTGTGCAGTATTACATAGGTAGCCATCACTGCCACGTTCTACGTTCGGCGACTGCTTCGCCTTATTGGTGCCGGGACTGAATATTTGGTTGGTTCTACTCGACAGAAACGAAGGCTGCGTTGGACCCGGCTCGCTGACGTTTTGGTGGCAAGAACGAAAGTGCGAGGCTTCTGCTGCACGATTGTTCTTGACACGTCGACGCTGCAGATGACAAAGCGCACTCGTGCGACGCTGCATGGTGATGAATTAGGTCGTCTTCGATCGATGGAAGATTAAAAAATAGAAATTTGAGGAAATGTGCACAGAACGAGGAGGAGGAGGCTGGGGAGACGCCGCCGCCAAAAGGTCTATCAAAGCTGTGACGTGCGTCGAGTCCATCAAGCACGGGTAGTACGTACTAGGCTACTCGATATGACGGGACTGGGGTACAGGAAGAGTGTGCGCCTTAGTCGCGCCCCTTCGCTCGACCGTCGACGCAAACCTTCGCAGGAATTCCGGCGCCACCTGTTTAGAGCTAACATCAAGTCGAAGACTTGAGAAACGGATCTCGTCGATTGTTCCAGCGTTCCATTTCCCATTTTGCTCCAGCATGGCAACGCTGCGGAGCTTCGTCCTTCTGTGTCTCCTCCTGGCGTGCTGCCTCCAGTGCGTTGTCGGCCAAGGCACCACCGCGCCAGCGACGTCGCCTGTGCCGACGAGCCCGCTCGTGCCCGTGACGACCTTGAGCACATGCCAGGCCTGTGCCAACCTCGGTCAGTGCGGCGCCGCTTACAAGGGCCTGCCAGGCAAGTACTGCGGTCCGTGGCTCTCGGGTGGCGTCAAGCAGGTCTGCTGCTGCCCGACCGCCGCCACGTGTCGCATCCCGCTCGACGCGAGCGCTTGCGTCTGCGGTGGCAACACGTCGCCTGCGAAAACAACGACGGGCACACCGTTCTGGGTCTGGATCGCGATCGGCTTTGGCGCGATCTTGCTCGGGTGCGCGTTTTACTATTGCTGCTGCCGCCCGTCATACACGGAAGAAGTTGTGATCGTGCAGCCCGGGTACGTCGGGCAGCCCGGCGTCATCTACCAGCAACAACCCCAAGTCGTGTACGCGAACGGCGGCGGGTACGGCTACGGCGGGTACGGCGGCGCGGACGTCGGCACTGGCTTGGCCGTCGGCGCCACGGCCGGTCTTGTGGGCGGTCTTGCGATTAGCGCCGCCCTGGACGCCGGCCACGGCTACGGTGGCGGCTACGGCGGTGGCTACGGTGGCGACTACGGTGGTGGTGATGGCGGCGGCGGTGGCTTTGGCGGCGACTTTTAGATGCGTTGAACTTCTTGCACAACTCAACACGAACAACCTTTATTTCGTATCCGGTGTCACGGACATGACGTCAACCCAGGTGGACTAGCCAGGTGTAGTCACAAGTGTAGTACTGGGCGTAGGACTCTGGCCTGAAATTCAGTTGCTACTGCTCTCGTGGGCTGCCACGTAGTGGACAGAGGCCTCGAAAAAAATTAGTCACAACGAGAAGGAGACACGGATGAACTCCATCTCGACGTGCCTTCGGTACAGCCTCCTGTGCAGCTCGGTCAGGAAAGAAATGCGTTGCTGCTTGGGCTGCTTGGTCATGTGGCCGATTGTGAAAATTTCTGACGCCGTGCTCGTCCAGCGCGTCTGCTACGCCGACTTCGCACGAAGCCAGATTGGAGAAGAATGTACCCACATCTGGCATCTGGAGGCTCGCAGCACCTGGATTTGGTCGTGACTCAATCGCATAATCAGTACAAAAGGATGCTATCTATACCACTCCCTCGCCCAGAAAAAAGACATTCATACTTACCTAAGCGAATTCCATGGCGCGCCTAATGACGCCGGACCTTTCTGCACCTTTCCCATTTTTCAACTTCGGACATGCTTCGCAAGTGCTTAGCCCTCGTCTTCGCCCTTGTGGCCGCCACGTCGATGGCCCAAACCACCGCGCCGGCGACCACCGCAGCGGCGACGACGTCACCCGTGACGCTGCCGCCTGGTGTCTTCACTGCGGTGCCGACGCCCATTGCCACTTTGAGCCAGTGCCAAGCCTGCGCCAACCTCGGCCAGTGCAGCGGCGCGTACAACAACCTCCCCGGCAAGTACTGCGGCAAGTGGCTCTCAAGCGGTATCCAGCAGGTGTGCTGCTGTCCGTCGGCCGCCACGTGCGCGATCCCCGTCAAGGCTGACAAGTGCCAATGCATCGACCCGACCAAGGTCAAGACGCAATCGGGCATGCCGTACTGGGCGTGGATCCTCATCGGCATCGGCGCCTTCATTCTTTGCGCCGCCCTCTGCTATTGCTTCTGCCGCTCAGCGCAGGACGAGCCCGCCGTGTACGTCCAGGAGCCCATGTATGTCAACCAGTACGGCCAGCCCGTCATGGTCAACGGTAACTACGCCAACGCCGGCGGGTACGGCCCCGGCTATGGCGGTGGCTACGGCGATGGCGGTCTTGCTGCCGGTGTTGCTGTCGGTGCGACGGCGGGTCTTGTCGGCGGCCTCGCGCTCGGCGCTGCCATGGACGC